GAGCCTCGGGGGCCGGTATATATAGGAGTACATGGGGAGGAGATAAGGAAGGATTACAGATATGGAAGTAGTCCACATAAATCAATCCTATCCTAATATGACTCTAACTACCATATACTCTAACAGCAAGCACCGGCAGCCAAGGGGACGCGCAAGCGGGGCCGCTGGAGTCGCGCGGTAGTCGGTGACCTAGGGTGCACGTCTAGCGGTGGTCTAGTCACGGCCATGAAAGGAGAGGGGTGGAGGGCAGCGGCTTGATGTCCGCAGGCATCGGTAGCAACTTGGGGTGGACAATAACGATGATGGTGGCAGTGGGTGCACTGATCTTGGTGACGGCGAGTGAGTGGCTGGCAACAGTGCCAATCTAAGCGAGGGCGAACAACGCCCCCACTCTCTCGTCGCCCACGGGAGCACAGTCGGGGTCAGGTGGGAAGGAGGAAGTGATGTTGAGGCCGTGCTTGCGGGAGCAGGGACTGGTCTTCGCTCACGGCGGATCTCCGTCGCGCCGCCTCAAACCCCACCGTCAGGCAGATCTCCGGCGAGGCTGTGTGCAGTTGTGGTGAAGGAGATGACCAGCAAGTCAAGTGGAGGAAGAGATTGAGCGATTTTGTGGATGGCGAATCATGTCTAGGCTGAGCGATTTTGTGGAGGGAGAGCTAAGGAGAGGAGGACGCTATCGGCGGCATGATGACCGATGAGGGGAAAACTACGATGCGGTGACGAAAGGAGTGGGGTGAGGAATTTGCTACGCTAGGTTAGCGCGTGGAGGAATTTATGGTGGTGGGGACGAGGATTTGGTGCATTCGCATGTGGGCCTAGTTTCCTCTAATGATTTCACCATAGGATTGGATAGGCACAACTCCTCCTTTTTATATTAGTATAGATGATCTGGGGTTTATATTTATACCTCAAGTACAAACTTAGTCCATTATAAACATGACTCAAACTTTCCTAAAGATAAAATACAAACAAGACCATACGGAGGTCTCTTACCATATCTCTAACAAAAACCAACATAAATATCCTAATTAATAGATATAATTGCCTTAATCGAGCTCTATGTCTAATTGGCAATGGCGGTTATCTCAATCTAGGCTCATACCGAGCCGAAGCCATATCATATAGGCCACTTGCCATATCGGCTAAATCAAGCTTCATTCCAGCTGACACGATGTCCAGCCGATGCGCAGTCCGACTTCAAATCTAACTCGATCTTGCATCAAATCCGCTTCGATCTGCTTCCTTTTTCTCTGAGTTTGGTGTAAAATTCCATTGTTAGCACCAACTTAACCAAAAACAAAGTCTAAAACTACTCAAAGGATAGGTTAAAGCTTGGGTTTCTCCTATGGTAGCACTATGATAGGTCACTCTGAGCACCGAGACATACGCAAACATATCGACGTTGCATCCCTCTTAATAGTACAGCATTCCTATACTCAAATGTAAATAGGAAGAGAATTATACCAATAGGAATGCCTTCTTTCCATCTTTTCTTTGTCTTAAGGAATGCCAACGTCGAAACCGTTTCACCATATATTCTTGAAATGATTGATGTGGTTACTTGTAGCTTCAAATGGCTCCGCATGGTCCATCATGACAAAGTCGTCACTCGTCCTTCACCATTGGATTTGGTTCTTCAGCACCAAGCCCCTTGCTTGCCCTTCACCACCACATGGTCCATCGCGGCCTAGCATTGCTTGCCCTTCACTGTCTTGCCATAGTAGCCACTTTGTATTCCACATCTACAATATATTCATTCTGCCATCCTTGATATCTTTAGGTGTAATAATATCACTTGAGCATCAACACCTTTGCAATCCTTGGGACCTATTTCTCTCATTCAACACAATAAAATTATTAGCCTCAATAATCTGGTTGTCAACCTTTACTTGTTGACCAACCAATCGCATGTATAAAAAGATATGAATAAATGATAAGTATTAATCAACAGTACAAGTGTCATATACTCAAATATATGCTTAAATGTTAAGATCCCAATTAAATGAAAGTGAACAACTTGCATCAATTACATGCATAAATAAGGTATAGGATTTGCTCCCCCTAAATGCATGCATACAAAATATTTGTGTGAAGCAAGAGTATGCATAAAATGAATGAAACATTAGGAACTTATCCTATACAAGAATAGAAGGCATTTATCAAATATAGGCATTAAAATAAATGTATACCTTCATCATCTTCATGTTCTTAATGTAAAGAGACTAAACAAAAGAAAAGGCTCAAACAAAACATTAGTCTCACATGTATATTGTTATTCACGTGGAAATATTATATATGAACATGTCAATATGTACATGGTGAGAAATAGTGATATATATAGATTGATCTCCATGCATTTTATCATTGTGATTTAGGTCCACCATCAATGAATGTTTCTATCTCAACTAATATGAAGTTCAGGAATCACCTCTCACACACTACACTTTCATATCCACATGAGACTAGGCAAAGAAATGGTTATAAAAACATTAGTCTCACATAATTGGATTTATAATTAATTACCAAAACCAAATTAATGGTACTTGAACTTTCATGATCGACATAGCAAAGAGTATAAAAGTGGCATTTCAAATTTTATAAACATAGCGAGGAAGGAGAGGAAAAGAAGGAACAATGATTATATAACTTGTCCATGTGTTGATTGTAAAAATGAAAAGATGTTTACCAGAAGAGTAGATATACACTCTCATTTGATATATCGAGGATTCATGAAGGGCTATACATGTTGGACAAAGCATGGAGAAAATGAATCAATCGATATTATAGATGAAGGGAGTGGTAGATAAAATTAGGAAGAAAATGAAGTTGACATGTTTGTTTCTTATCCGTTGGGCAGTGAAATGGTTGATGTCAATCACAATCTTCTGCAAGCAATGTTGCATGATGTTGAGGAGACAACTTACAATGCAAGATTGCAAGCAATGTTGCATGATGTTGAGGAGACAACTTACAATGCAAGATACCATGAGTTCACCAGGTTGGTTAGTGATTCAGAGACACCTCTATACGATGGATGCAAGGCAAAACATACAAAGTTAGTTGCTACCCTAGATCTAATGAAGCTAAAAGCATGTCGTGGATGGACAAACAAGAGTTTTACAGAACTGTTGGATATATTGAAGGATCTGCTTCTAGAAGAGAGAACACACAGCCCAAAGCGACACATGAAGCAAACATTTTTTGTGTGGGGTTAGTGGTTCGTAGAATTCATGATTGTCCAAATGACTGCATATTGTACTAAAAGGAATACACCGACTTAGAGTCTTGTCCTGTGTGTAAGGCTTCTTGATACAAACCAAAGAGAAATTGTGACGAAGGTTGTGTAGTACTTGCCTATCATCTTAGGAGAATCTTTGCCAATCCCTAGGCAACAGAGTTATTACGTTGGCATGTGTTAACAACGGAATTTTGCATCAGATTCGAAGAAGGAAGAAGATCGAAGCAGATTTAGTGTGGAATCTAGTTGAATTTGGAGTCGGACTGCGTATCGGCTGGATACCATATCAGCTGGAAATAAAGTGTGAGTTGATCAAGGTTGATGGAGCCGATGGCCGATACAGCCGATATGGTATGACTTGGGCTCGCATGGGCCTGTATTGGGATAATCGTCATTGCCAATTAGAGATAGAGCTCAGGTAAGGCAATTGTATCTATTAAATAGTTTGGTTACGTCGGTTTGTGTTAGATTTGGCAAGAGACCGTCATATATGGTCTTGTTTGTATCTTATATTTAGAAAGGTTTGAGTCGTGTCCATAATGGACTAAGTCTGTATTCGGGGTATAAATATGAATCCCTTAGCATTGTAATACGAGGGACAATCCAATACAACTTCGGCGCATCGCGACCCTTTCGTTTTTACTTTTCGACGAGTTCGCTTCGCAAGAGGTAACTCATCTCGATGGCCTATGCTATTGGGGCTATTATGTCGTTTTAGATATCTTAGTCCTTGTATCATGACCATCGATATCATATGTCTATGTTAATCTAGTTTTAACAAATCGATTTAGCTCTATCGGCTGCTTCTCGCTTTAGGGTTTCTGCCGTTATCGGCTAAATCGTCTTGCTAGATTAGATTAGCTTAGACATATACCACCTTGAAAATCAATCAACGGCTTGATTGTCTAGACATTGTGTTTCTTTTCATACTTAGTGTTGCATTAGTACATTCGACCTACTAAGTCGTGTTGATCTCTACCCTGCTTCTTGATTTCTAACAGGGATAACATCAGGGTTTCAGCCGCTCTTACCTAATATACATGCTTCTTTATCTGTTTCATGTATATTTGCCATCTATATAGACAGATCACTTTATAGTAATATATCAAGTAGAGGTCATATCGGCTGGGCTATCAACATTGACTATTGACCTCTATTTGGTATATTACTATAGATTGATTTGCCTATATAGATCTGTACTAGAGTATTAGCCAGTATATTATCTTTCTTACACTAAATATTGTTACATCGGCTATTTTAATAATATTATCTTAAGCTTCTTTATCAATCTTGATAGACAATGTTACAACCAATGAGGCATATTTAGGGTTTAATATTCTTTAATATATCCAGTCTATAGCCGATTTGGTCTAACTCCATCGGTAGAGACCACCAACGATACGCTATCGGCCGATCGGCTATCGGCTGACTAACTCTGCTTTTCTCTTTCTTGCTGATTGCAGGATCAAATCAGTTGGCACGCCCTTGATACACTTGAGGCTAGCCTTGGACTTGCACTGGAGTTAAGAAGATCCCCTAGGCCGCCGTGTTTTCACATGAACAGCATGCCACGGATCGAAGGGTTAATGGTATGCTTAAGAACCCTGCAGATTCATTTTAATGGAGAAATATTAATAAAAAATACCTTAAATTTGTTGCTGACCAGAGAGAATGTAACACCCCAGAAAACCACATAAGCCTGGGATGCCACTAAACAACCACACATAAGTGCCAAAACAAGCAAATTTCGGCAACAACTATCTTAGACAAGAAAACATCGCGGAAGCATCAACATATAGATTAAGGTTATGATACAACAATTGACTGACATGTAGGGATAGGCTTGAAAAAGTGGCTAATCAATGGTCAACAACTCTAGTATTTAATTAACCCATTATGTCTAAACACAAGTATTCTTATCAAGATATTACAATAATCATGACTAAGTGAGATCATGTCGTGCGACTGTGTAGCTAATCCTATCCCTTCATGCAAACATGTCACAGCAAGTACCTGAAAAGACTATAAGGGGGTGAGAATAAATCTCAGCAAGCAAATGGCTTTAACAAGCTATTTAAACCACATGTTTATTATATAACTAATTTAAATACCAAGTTATGATTCACATAAAGACAAGTTCAAAATCCAAGGAACTAAAACATCATAGCGTCACCAATCAAATCCATATACTCACAAATCCTAGAGAAGAAAACACTTCTCAAAGACATCTTCGATCAATAATTTTCATAACGTCCTGCAATATGTGCATATACAATGCAATGATATGTACTCCTGCCTTCACACCCAACAAGGTGTGAAGCTGCATCGTATTACGGCAATATACGATGCTGTACCGGTACGGTCGCAACCATAGGTTCACGACATAACTTCAAATGCAATGCAAGTGATGCAAATGCAGTATGAATTCCAGAGTATAACATCGGAACCACATTCCTTCGATGGAGATCAGTATAAGGTTATTATAACCAAGAGCATAAAGTATAACCATAAACAGTGTAAAATCAATAAGTATGATTCAGATAGGTAAATCCTCGGTGTAATATATAATAATCTTGGTTGATGATATATAATTTCAACGTGGAGGTAGAATCAAATAACAAGTCAAGGCTGTAGCAAACCACCGCTACGTTTACTTGCCTTCACCGATGATGAGATGAACTCTAGTTGCATTCCGAAGTGGCATCACCTAAATAAACACCGGCTCAGACTCAAACAACATGCATAATCATTCAAGAATCACACATACGCTTCCTACGCTGGGATCCCACCCCAAACAACATAAAGCAAATCACTGATAATCTTCCTATAAAAGCAGCATAGATTAACAATTTGATACCTCCAATTCTACATCACATAACACAGAAAAATATGTCATTTCTGACATCTACAGAACAAGAATTACAACTTTCATTTAGATAACAAAATTGAATTCTTCCATTTAGCTGGCCTAAAACATGGCACAAAACAGAGAAGTGCATCTGCCCAGAAAACTGTGCAACAACCATTCAAGAGAGCACTGACAACAAACTACAAGATAAAAGCTAACAATTTTTATGTAGGAGGTAGATCACAACATATGCTACAACTTCTGTAAAAACAAGATTCTCTGATTCCATCATTAAGATCCTCTAAAATCCCTCTGAACCTCGACTACAGAAAAAATGCATCGATATTCAGACAGTCAACTTCAGAAATTGATATCTCCTAAACCACTTGATATAAACTCATGCCATTTGGTCAGAAGATAGATCTACACGTTATCTACAACTTTTGTATAGAGACGTTTCGCAGGAAATCCCATTATGATGGCCGAAAAGGCATCCAAACCAGAACTGTGCAGGGGACAGATCAGCAAAAACCTGGCTGAGGAATAAATCGGTTGATCCCAAACTTACTCGCTTCCAACACTTGATCTAAACCCTAATAGAAAACCAAAACAGGGGGAAAAGATCATGTATTAGATACCTAGGCCTCCATGGGCAGCGGCAACCAAAACCCCTCATTTCCTTCTTCACCTCAATTCCCTCCGCTTCCTTCTTTCCCTTTCTTCTTCTTCCCTTCTTCCCAGGTCTGCAGTAGGGCAGGCATGGGGGAGGTCGACTAGAGGGGGAGGTGGGCGCCCCCAGGGTACCAAATGACGGCTAGGGGGAGGTGGGGGGGACCTCCTAGGGTTTTGGGATGTGGAGGGGACAGCTAGGCCTTGGGCTGGCCAAAAGCTAGCCCAGCTAGCATATACCTATTGTTTTTCTTCTAATTTCAAACACCAAAACCTTACGGACTTCCAATATATCCTCTACAGTATTCTATTTTTTCTAGGGCATTACATTCTCCCCTCCTTTAAGGAATTCGTCCCCGAATTCTACCTTCAAAACAAAACAGTCCAAAGAGATAGACACCTTAAGCATCACACACACTTACCTCTAGGTGATGAAAGGGAAAAAAAATCCCATCAAGGAAAAAAAACACTTGCTACTTATGCCAATGATTCACATATAAAGAAATACATTAGAGAAATTCTTTAGAAAGAGACACATTTAGAAACCGAAGTTATGCCTTAGGCACAATCAACTTCGAGGTCCTGCTCTGTCCCATTTGGTTGATGCTCGATCCCAAACTCTAGTTCTCCTAAACTTCAATAAGGTTGTATGAAGCTCTAGCTCCCACTCCCTTCGACAACTAATTCTATTTTAGGAAGGTCAAACTTTTCTCGTACCCACACCCATAACCATCAAAGCCCCACAAAACACTCCACTTTCTATTACAATTGAACTTCTTGGGTCCCTTGTCAAAACTATTTTTCTTACTACCAAAAGAACATTGCTAGGCCATCCAACCTCCTTCCCACTTCCCAAAAGAGGCAAAGACCAGAGAAAACTATATGGCTCTTCTAAAATAAGACATAGCCAAACATGGGGCATTATCCCTTTGTACACTCATGCATGCATGTACTGCTGGAATAAACACCTATTGTGACACCGAAACTACACGAAAATATTTCGTTTGGCTGATGCAACAAAACCTAAGGCAAAACATGCTCAAACACACAACATATTGCAACATCACAAGCTAACATTTTACTCAAAGGTGAACATTCATATGAGAAACACCATTAGCCACCTAGGTAGAATAACCGTGACGTTTTTTCTACCATAGGATTCACTCAAAGGACTAAACCAATAGGCTCGACAACCAATACACAAACAATCACACACACAAACAAGACACCATGGGCCACAACTTGAGGTCTGCATAATCAACAAACACAATGGAGAGCTAGATCGAGAAAAATACTATTTTTAAAACTTGATGGCATGCTAGAGAGGACAACTAGCCAAGCAATCACAAGAAACCCTACTATGAACCCACCGACTACGTCGATTTAACACAACTTCAAGAGCGTATCAAACACTTAACCAGGATAACAAATAACCAATGTAGATAAAAACATGCCTTTGGGCCACACAAACATTCCACATGTTCACAAAAGTAACAGAGCGTCTCAACATCCAAGGAAAGCTTTCAGCAACCAAAAACAATGTGGAAAAAGCAACAATCCAACTTAGACACTAGGTCCCAAAGCAACATGCCAAAAATGTCCCCAACAACAAAGATGCATCCAGCCATGGGGACCTCACAAGATTCTACATAGGTTCTATGCCATCATAACTCACTAGTGGCGATAATATTGGCCCAATCCTTTTGGGAAAAAAAAACCTGTTCTATACTAAGATTTTCTAGGGTCATGGTGAAAGTTAACGCCCCAACCTATGTGGAGAAACACACAATAATCCACCCTTTCTTTGCATCGAGAGATGCACAACATTGTGGCCAATTGATCTATCACACACTATTTGCTTCAAATAAGGACACTTGAGTCATCAACCTAACACTTGGGCAGCGTCACTCAGCAATGAAGAAAAAAAAATTGTGACAGCCCTTCATTTAGCCCATCTGCATCACTAGTCGGTGCTCACTCTAGAGGCTCCTAACTTTTGTCATCCTAAGGACCACATTAGGATCTAAAATATATCTAAAACAAAACCACTCCAATACAGATAAAAAGAACATGATGGTGCATCAAACATCAAACCATACAGCAGAACACCACATATGAGCAATTGTGTATAATGAAAAAATAATAATCAAACCACTAGGATAGAACCCATTTAAACAATAATAACAACATCAAACAAGGCATTCGTGAATATAGCATGAAGAAATATGAATGTACAAGTGAGATGTACTCTACTTGAGCTCTACGTTTTGTGTGTTGAAGTGTGTATAAGCTCCTCCTTTTATAGTGAGTAATGACAGTTGTTGACAGTTGGAAATATCGGTAACACCCCTTAAACATCATTAGGGAGTAATCTGGGACATTCACGTGGAAGGCCAGGATGGGAGGCGCCAGAGGCGGTTTGGCCGAACCCTGGGCTCCACCTCCTGGCCTCTCCTTTGGCTAGGAGACTGACTGGTGGGCCGTTATGGCGGTTAGGCCTATAGTATGGCTGGACGAATTCGAGGGCGAATTCGATTGAAGGGGGGAAGAATGTAATGCCCCGGGTTTTGAATTAATATATTTCGGGGAATATTAGAGCGAACGTGCAAAAGTTTAACTTTTAAACTATTGTTTGAATAGGCGATCAGGAACCGTGGATGCGTAGAGCTCGTCGAGTAGGGCGAAATAGACTATAAGTTTGTGGTAATCGGAGTCCCGAGTTATTTCCGGTTATCGATTTAATGTGGGCTGTTTGATCTTCATTAGCCTCTCCCTTTTTAACCAATAGAAGGGGAAAAAAAAGAAGGCATCGCTAGCAGCTAGCCCTAGCCGCCGACGTCCGCCTCTTCACCTCGGCGCCGCCGCCGCTGTGCGTACGACGCCGGTTACCACAGCCATCGTCTCCTTGGTGAGTTGCTGCTGTCGATCTGATTTTTGTCTCGTGTTGCTGCTGCTGCCGCTAGGATTGCTGCATGTGCTGCTGCGGCTGCTGCCGATCTGCCGTTGCTGCTGCTTGTGCGTTGCTGCTGCTACTGCTGCTATTGGCTGCTACTGCTTGTTGCTGCAGAAGAACAGGAAGGAGGAAGAGAAGGGAAAAAAAGTTAGAAGAAGGGAAATTTGGGGAGTTTGGTGGATATTTCCAAATTCTTTGTTTTTCTTACAAAATTAGTACTTCTAGGTAATCCGTTTTATTCCCTAGTTGTTTCTAATTTATATATAAGACGTTCCGTTTCTGGTAGCTTGAATTTATTTTTATAGAACGCTAGGCTGAAACCGTATTTTCAATTCTGGTATTAAACCATCGGGATTCAGGTTAGTTGTCCTAAATAAAGTTTGTAGTTATCGTCGATATCTTTCTAACACTGCTAGTTTCGTTCGATTCTGATAAACAGTTTGGGAGAAACAACAAAAACAGTACTGCTGACCGGGTCCGGAAATCAGGACAGCAATTCGTTTTCCTTAATCTGGGATTTTCATAGGCATAATCTGATTTTGTGCCCAACATGAAAGTTGTAGACAATTTTGTATAGATGTCCGAAGTTGTATTATTTGCTAGATTCTGGTAGACGGTTTGCAAGTTACGTATAAAACAGTAATGGAACCGCTATAGGTTATTTAATACAAATCGGTAAAAAGTTTATATGTTCTAGGTTATCGATTTTAGTAATTATCCCTTGTAACTATCATTGGTTGGATATAGTGGTTTATGCATAGTTTTGCTCCACAGGTGTGGAGGGTTCCAACGTTGGAGTTGAGTCGGAGTATCGAAGAAGTTAAGGCAAGTACAAGATGGACTTGTGTGATGGATAAACTGTATTGCTTTGTTGGTTTCATTTACCCAATTATTATTCGAAGCTTCCTATTATCAATTGTGTGGTTTTGGTATTATGCTACATATTCATATTTCACTTCATGTTCAAGTTCACAACGTTATTCATGTTTCATTCTTCTGGAAGTTTTTGTTTACATTATTCAAGTACCATGTGTAGTCATGGGAGTGCAATTTGGATCTTTATTCATAATCCTTGAGAAGCGCTGATCACGCTTGCTCGGCTTATCGGTAATGCTAAGAGGATATTCACATCTGCCCGGGAGGGAACTACTACTTTTTGCCTCCTTCGTTTTAAATTAAAGAAAGTCAAATGTTTCATATTGGTTTCTTATTGCATTAAACCTATGTATGTTTTACTAGTTCAATATTGTACTTGCTTAGTATTCTTTACTCATTCTTGTATTTAATTTGGTTTTTAGGTACCTAATGGTATTGATCGGCATGGGACGGGAGTAGCACCCTTGAACTACACACTATTATTGCACACTATTGAAATTTAGTTTTAGACTATGTTTTTGCTTAGCATAAGTTTTCCGTAGAACTTGTAACTGTCATTTAAAGTTATGGTCCTTACTTTCACGTAGAATTTGTGGAGCTAGGATGGTTTGGATTGCGTGGATTATATTGTTATTGAGTTATCTTATAATTGCCTGTCGTGGATATCCGTATTTTTAGGGGAGACTCTGCCGAAATTTCTAATAATTTTTGGAGTTAGTGGTTTTTGAGTGTATTTTGGTGTGGCATTCTAGGTACGTGGCTACCTGGGGTGTTACAGTTTGGCCCCATTTTAAGTATGTTTCAACTGACTTGTGGGCTCTCTACTCGCGCATGATTGGTCGGAGGCTTATTTTCGTTGCATGTCGGGTGTATTTTCTCCTTTAGTGACCTACATATATATATTTACCAAAACAATGCAAGTGGTTAGAGGTAAACTCCTACTTCTAAGTTTTGGTAGTATATTTGATATCTTTTATGCATGAGTTTACGGTTAAAGTTTGCACTTAACGACCATCAACAGTATGCGGAAGAAAAAGTATATATTCTAGTGACTACCATACTTGAAGGACATTGAGTTCCGTCATTGCATTGATCTAATGCACGTAGAAAAGAATGTGAGTAAGAGTTTGATCGGGCTACTGCTGAATATTCCTAGAAAGACAAAAGGACGGATTAAACATGTGTCTAGATTTACAGGAGATAAATATTCGAAGTGAATTCGCACCAGCAACTAATCCGGACACAGGAAGAGTGTACCTCCCTTCAACTTGCCACACCTTATCGAAGAATGAGAAAATCCAAATGTTATCCTGCTTGAAAGATATAAAAGTTCTTTCGGTCTATTCAGCATGGATCTGAAATGCCATAGTTGTTTTAGATCGTGGGAATGACAATCATGGGATTGTTTTATACCGTCAAACAAGATGACAAGAGTACAGTACAAAACAGCGAGGTCCATATAGATGCTTTTATTGATCAACTTGGGTCTAGCTCATACTACAGTCGTATAGAGCAGACCTGGGAACTGAACAGTACCAAATTCAAAGTACTGTTGTTTCGTTGCCATTGGGTCAATTTACGCACTGGAGTAAAAGTAGATAAGGAAGGTTTCACAACTATAGATCTAAGCAAGGTTGGATACATGGATGAACCATTTGTACTTGCAAAATAGGTTATGAAAATTTTCTACATACATTACCCGACAAACAAGAAGTTGCACGTCGTTAGGGATGGCAGAAGAATTGTTAGGGTTGACAATGTCGTCGATGAGGACGATTAGAACCAAAACCTTCATGTCAGTCTGCACATAGACCTAGACAATGGCACCGAAGAGGAGGTGGTGCATGTATGTTGAGATCATGCCGAAGGCCTATCCTTATAATAGAAACATTGTATGCCATCATCAGTTTCTACTATTGCCATGTAATCTGGAGTTTCAATAAAACATTTTGTTCATCTTAGTCATCTCATCTTCGGCGTACCTTATTAAATATGTGACATCTCTAAGTTAGAAAAGAAAAATAAGTCAACAGTGGTCTATCCTCAAGGAACCAAAAGGAACCAAAAAAACTAACATGTTACTTTTTTAAAAAAAATAAAAAGTCATCTATGACGAGCTTTTAGTAATAACCATTTGAGATGACATCTCTAATGGGCCTTTATGAATAGCCATCACGGATGCCATCTGCAACAATGCTTCTTTCCAATCCGTCAAGGATGACTCTCCATGACGGTGTCCCTTTCTAGCCTATCACTGATAGCTATCATCTGTGGCGACGTTAATTATATTGCCCTTTACGGGTATGGGTTGACCAAATCGGTGTAAATTAAAGATGAGGGTGAGTTCGCCTCCCCACAGCGCTCCGGACCTTTTCGGGGCGACGTGCTCGCTTCCGCTGATATCCACGTCATCCCGCTCCCTCCGCACGCGCAAGGCTGGTGCGGCTATGGGCCCGGTTCCTGCCGTTTCCCGCGCTCGGGGAGCGCCTCTTCCCGCGCGGCCGCGCCTCCGGCGCTTGTGATGAAGCTGCTGCGGGCTTGGGTATCTCTAAATGGGCTGTTAGGGTGGGGCCCAACCAAGGGACAGCAAGCTAGCAGGTTCGCCGTTTCACTGCTCGCTCGTTCATTAGACCCGTCGGGCGTTTTCCGCCGTCCATTGCGCTCTGCGTTCCAAAAACCCTAGCCGCACCGAAGCCGCCTCCTCCTCCTCCTCAGCGACGCCGCCAGCCGTCCTTCGCCCTCCTCCCCACAAACTCCTTTGCGCGTCCTCCTTCGCCCAGGCGCTGCTACGATCGTTCGATGCCGTGGTGAACCGCCTCTAGGCTGCGCTTGACGCCACGGACGCCGCGGCGGCGTCCCTGTTGAGGGACCACACGGCGCTCGACGACGGCAACACGCGGCTCGGGGCGAGGCTAGATCGCGCCCACGCGTCGAACCTTGTGTGGGCGGCGACGACGCCCTCGGCCCACTCCTTTCCGATGGCGTCTTCGACTCCGTCCTCTGGCACGCGCTCCGCATCGCTCCACCGGCTTCACCCGCTCACTCGCCGGCCTCCTCTGATGCGCTGGGTGGGATCTTGTTGCTACGGCGGAGATTGACTACCCTGATGTAGACTACTCCAGGCCTAAGCCACTGCCGGTACGCACTCCTCTCCCTGGTTTGCGTATCCAGGTTTGATGGCTTCGATTCATAATAATAATTTGGTGGTTCAACTGATACGAGCACACTGGAAGGAATCGATGTTGCAACCTGGAGGAACGAGTCACTGCAGTGATTAATCGAGCACTTAGATGCAGACCCAATTGACCTTATTTTGCGACCGGAAGTACAAGTAGCTCATTCATCCTGCTGGTATTGAAGTCTATTTGTGACAGCGCTGTGGTGCAGCTATCTGCATGCTTTGCCTCCTCCTTACAATATGATCTCCCTTGAATCCATCGCTCGGGCCTCAGGCCATGGTTGCAGCCGCTGCCCAACCGTGCTGCCCCGAACTGCTCACACCTCAATGTATACAACAGGCACTGATTGCTCAACGAGCAGGACAATGCCACACCGAGTCACAATCACAGACATGTGAGTTCTTTCCCTTTATTTCTGTATCATTACAAGGAGTACTGATTTTTTTGTTAACTAAAGATTGTTGTATTTATGACGGTATAAGATGTAATCCCTGACAATGTGATATATGCCTTGTGCTGTTCTGTAAAAAGAGAGATTATTTTCATTCCTTCTTGTTTGTGTGTATGTTTTGTTTTTTCCCTCAGCATCAAGGTAGATTCCCTAGCAATTACATACTGAATTTGTTTGTGACAGTACCCGAGGTTCTAGATTTGGTTTGGTTTGGAATTAGCTATGCCTCACGCCGAACTATTGGATAAGATGTCTTTGACGTGACATTTGCATCTTAGCATTTTTTTTATTTGAGAAAATGTGAAATATGTCGATTTGTATGTTCTTTGTGTTTCCTGACATACTGATTTTGTTTATGACGATTATTAAAATACATCTCTACCATAAAGGGTTCTACACTGGTAAAAGGACCATATGTTTAGACGCTCACTGTAAATGACTTATTGTTACAACGAGAGCAGACATGCAAGCTTTAGGGACTGTCCATTTATTGTATCTCATGGTTGCTAGCAGCTATATCCTCCTCCATGTTCACATCCCATTGAGACTGTCCCATGTCAGCTAAAATAGTGGCATAAAATCCTCTTGCCATGAACCGAAACACCTACAATTCTAAATAGTGAGGTGCTGATGTGCTATAGAATTTCTTCTAACTGATTTATGTGTTGTTATTGCAGATTGTCCTTATCCAAGCACATGCTGAAAAATCTAAAGTCAAAGTAAGAATTCATTTAAATCTCCAGAGACTCATTTCAGTGGATTATCTACTGTGGTAACTCCCGTAGTCACAGGCAACTCATTTAGCTAAATGTGTTGTAATTTATATAAAATTCTTACTTTAAAACTGTCTCAGGTGATAGACGATGATCAAAGGGATGCAGTTCTGCTGACTATGAAGATTGATTCTAAAGAGGAAATGGAAAGGAATATTTTTGCCTTATATGTGCTCCTAAAACTTATTTCAATTTGTTTGATTTTCATGTAGGTATTTTTGTTGGTTTAGCTACACATGGTGCTCACTGATATACTATTTTCGATGCCATGATATTGTTACATGTTTCGTTTCCTATATACTTATTGTACTTATTGTAGTGCCAAGAAAGCCGACCATCAAAAGCTTTCAATGGGTACAAGCCAACCATTGATTTCGAGGTAACTGACCATGGACTTTCAATGGGTACAAGGAACCATTGATTCTAAGGGAACTGACCGTGAACTTGTTAAAGGAGGATAAAGGTAAACTGCAATACAACGCCATTTAAATAAACATAATAGATTCTCATTGCCTCGATTATTTTCGATATGTGTTACTCCCTCCATCCCAATATATTACAACCTAGGATGGGATTAGACCCATTCTAGGACTACGAATCTGGACAATGGCTTCCTATGTACCATGCTATGCTATCTAACTACTGCTTTGGAGCATCACTTAATGTATTAATCGCTACACTACTTATGATAAGCTTTGCAAATGTGCTAGATTAGTTACATATCTCTATGCGTAATGATTTGTTCTGTTCGTTTGAACTGTTCATAGCATAGTGATAATGTGCTTTTCCTATCATTCTATTGCTTTATATTTCAATGCTTACTTCATATGACTAAATAATAACACCTTTACTCATGATAGGGCGCTGCAAAGCGCGCCTAATGGTCTAGTTAAGATCACGGTCTAGGGTTTAAATTCACTGTACACTCTTCACTCTTCAACCAGTTCAGATCTACTATGGGTGTCCTTTGCTCCCTTGTCGGCCTCCATCGAGCCCCGTTGAGGCCACCGTCCTCTCCACTGCTAGCCTCCTCCAAGCACTGACGAGGCTGCCGTCCTCTCCACCGCCGGCCTCCATCGAGCCCCAACGAAGCTTGTTATACATGCTATATGTAGTACAATCTTCGATGCTTGTGTATATGTTTGTATTGCTAAGTACATTATTTCTTGCAAATTGTAACTCGGTGATAGGTTTGATGGTTAACTCTTCAAGATGCATCGATGGTTTTGTGTAAGTTCTCTGAATTTTTTGACAAATTTTAAATTACTACAACAATGTGAAATGGATGTGAATGGAAATGTAACTGTGAAATGGATGTGAATGGAAACGTGATTGTAAAATGCATATGAATGTATTTATGTATATGTTGTTGTGAAATGTATGGGATCTGGGATTATGGGGATGCTGGGAATCATCAATCAATAACTCCCCTAACCCCACCGTTTTTCTCCGATTTTTGAATTATTTTTGGGCTATCTCGTTACTTTACACGTCGTTCCTCCTCCTCCCGGCTCCTCGCGCGTGCCTGCGTGACTGCTCGTAAGCGGTCACCGGTCCAACGTTTTTTTTGGCGCTGTGGGGCGTGTGCACGCGCCGGTCTTGACGGCGGGTTAGAGCCGGTTGCATTAGTAGGCTATTTTGCAAAAAAGTCCTCGTGTTTGCACGGAATATCATATATGCCTTACGTCCCATTGTATTTTTTAATGTATAATCTCTCGTATTCCAGGAAAATACAATACGAACGAAGAAGAGAAAATTCCCCTTCTAGGGGTAACGCTGTAAACATGAAAACTATAGGGGGTTTTCCGCAAAACGTCCTAGACTAACACCCCAATCCTGAAACCCTCCCCTCATTCTCTCCCTCTCCTCTCCTCCCCTCCCCTTCTCTCCCATCTCTCCTCTCTCAGCTCAGATTCCGGCTCGAGCTGCCATGGCGGCGGCAGTTACTGGCGGTGGCGGCGGCGGCTTCAGGCGGTGGCTGCGCGAGGGGTGGAGCCAGCGGCGGCTCCCCTCCTTCCTCCCAGATCCGGTGGAGGCGGAGGTGAAGGGTGGAGGCGGCGCGGAGGGTGGATGCGGCGGCGGCCCTCCCTTCCAGATCTGACGCGGATCGTCGTCCCCCCACCGCCGCCGCCGCCATAGCAGGCTCGCTCCACCCCCTAGCCCGCTCCCTCCTCCTCACCGACGGCGCCATACCTCCTCCTCTAAGCCGGCCGGTACGCTCGGCCGCCAGCCCCAGCTTCCTCTCTTCGTCTCACGCCGCCTCCTTCCTCCCCGTCCCTTCGTTCTACTTCTTCACAACCCCCACCTCCACGCCATGACCAACGGATGACATCCGTGCTCGGATAGGTGCGGATGCGCCTAGCGATTTCTCCTCACCAGATCAACCTCCACTGCAGCCTCCTCCTGCCGGATCTGACACCTCCTCGACTCAGCATGCTAGGTGAGTCCCCCCACCATCCCGCTTGCGTCCACTCCAGCATGTCAGACCCTCAGCGTCTCTGGCCCCTCCGGCTTCTAGCTGTCTGGCCTTCATCAACAGCCACTCCTGTAGCTGCTAGAGGTCAACGCTGTCGACTAGGCCTCCATCGGCCATCGCAGGAGCTTCTTGAGCTACTTCCCTCAATCTCTGATTCATGCTCTTATGTAGCCATTCAGAATAAGACATCCAGGCAAAGTCAACGGAAAAAGGTAAGCTGCAGGAATTTCTCTTTTTACCCCACCATTAAGCATTTGGCTTCGACTATTTGCATTTTCTAGGATCTGCCATTTTCCCTAAGGTTCTTTGCATGTCTGATGGCTACAGATGGTTCTGAAATTCAACTATATTTTTGTGTAACCTTGCAAACGGTCCGCTATATATTGCCATTGTTTGTAATTGACATGTGTATACATCAGCTACTCAATCCAGTAATTGCATAATAGTTAATATTTCCTTGCTTCTATCTTATCATGTAAAAAAAATTCCCTACAAAATTAGGCTTTCTCACCATTGTTGCCTTCCAGAATTAACATGGCATGTTGCGTACAAGAATTATCTTTCTTTCTATTTCTATGTTCTATGGAGTTGATGTATTGTTCTATGGTTTACTAGATAGTTGATCTATCAAAATCAATCCTAGCATTCCCAAATTACCTATAACAAGAGGTATTCATGGATCGGTACAACATATATATCTACAGCAGGTTAGTTTCGTTCTGTTTTGTCAACACAGAATCATGAGGAATTTTAGATGTGTTCATTCTGTGATGCTGTCTATAATTCTATATGTATTAAATTTATATGACACGTGAGTGTATATATGCAATGCCATTACGAACTGCTACTATAGTCTCCCTGTGTTCTTCTCTTTGTATACATGAATAACAAATATGGCACAATTTAAGGCAATTGCAGTTTTACAGGCTCTGTGCAAGTAGCTGTTTATGTTTTAACGGTAAATATTTAGTTTTCCCCTGAAGAGGAGTTAGCAAAAAAAAAGTTCTTTCATCTGAGATGCTTATGATTTGTGGCTAATGTCGTCTTAGTCGTTCTTGTTAGGCCGAAGATCCTAGCTCAATATTCAAGGAATAGATTCCCTTCATTACTCATGTTAATGTTGGGAGGGGCAACCCACTATACTCAGCTCGTGGATCTTCATGAATGGAGCTGCCAGCATCATAATGACAACCAAATAGGAGTACAAGATAAGGTAAATAGGTAGTGGGGATCGTTCATGTCACTTGCTCTCTGTTTTTCTCCTTAGGGAAAAAAAGTTAATCTTTCCGATTATTTCGTTCTATTCATTAATTATATGTACTTAGCAAATTGTTGTGTTGTATATGTATTGCCATTTTGACATAATAAAAAGATTCCATTTGATCATTTCCTGAACCATGCAGGAATAATACTCCGAGTCTCTGATCCAACTCTTCTGCTCATGAAACTTACAAACACCAAGTCAGTTGACTGCTGCAAGCAGTATGGTCTCTGTAGCCAATGCACATATAGCTCTCCCATGAGTGTTTCATGCTGGTGGTCATATACTCGTATTAACAATGCGTGTTAGATGCACCGAGTTGCTAGCAGTGTGAAGGAGTAATCCTTCTCGTTTGCTGCTTGCATTGTAAACCTTGCGGTTTCACTTTTAACTGATGTTTTGTTGTTGACGATCTCGCAGGTCGACTGATAGATGCATTGCGGAATTCTGTGTGGATGCAAAGCTGACTCAACATTGTTTAGCTTTTATAACAGATGGCTTCAATAGGGGCTGCGCTATCTGGGTTAAAGAACAGCAGCTTCACCACAATGGGTGCTGAGAAGTTGCCTGATCAGATGCATGATCTGAAGATAAGGGATGACAATGTAAGTTTTATTATGACGAGAAGTGCAATTTCTTCTATGTGCCATGTGAATTTGACTTCATTGTAACATGTTAAGCTAAATGGTAAATACAGGAAGTTCAAGTGACTAATATTAACGGCAAGGGAGCAGAAACCGGCCACATAATTGTCACAACTACTGGTGGCAGAAATGGTCAGCCGAAACTGGTGATTTCTTGGTACAATGTTGTGATTTCAGAACAAATGCTATCGACCATTGTTATCTGAAACTGTTCATCGATTATAAAGCAATCTTCATTTCTAATTCATATTCTTGGATAATCCTGCAGACAAAATGTAAAAGTGCTTGGGAAGACATGTTGAATACTGAGCATGCAGGTAATCGAAAGAAAAGTTGAAATGGATATATTATGCCTCCTAAGGTATTAAGCAATCATCTGTTTTGTTCTAACTCACGTATGCCCTATGTTTCAGTGACCTTCTGAAAGATAAAACATGTTTACACGCTTGAATAGCGAACCATTTGCATCTTGCAGCTGCGCTGAACTGGTTTGAAGATGTTTGCAGACAGAATTGTGGTTTGTAATGAGCTCTTTCCACTTGTAGTCCTTTATGGTGGAGAAGAATGCCAATCATAGCATCCACTAAATGACCCATTTGAAAGTGTTTGTCCTTTTTGTTGATGAAAATTATAGCCCAATTCACTTTTTTATTGTTCATCTTTGTTGGTGTGTTGTCTTCTATTAAGCCACCTAATGGATTCACAAGGACTACTTATACTTTATTGTACTCTGTTTATTAAACAAATGTAGACCGTATTTATCAAAATATTATCTACTATCTAACCATTTTATGCAGAACTATTTGCTATCGCGCGGCGTGCGCCGCGCTCTCCTTTCTAGTATATATCTATGTTTCTGTTAATTGCAGCAAGCATGGCTAGCAAATGCCTAACACTAGCCAATAAAATGGATCTATTTTTTTTTATAAATAAACTCATCGGTGTCAGGTTAGAAAAAAAATCATGTCACGAGTCACGACGGCGAACAACTTTGTCGTTTCTAAACAAGAAACCGTCACCGATTAGTTATCTGTGACGGTACCCCGAGAAAGGTGATCAAGCCTTATCGGTGACGGTAGCTCTCCCGATAAAGATGAGTTTTCACATAACTGATCACTAATCCGTGACCAGACCGTCCGCATCCGTGACCAGACCGTCCGCCACCACAGATGAGGATTCACGCCTGATACAGATCCGCACTAGTGAATATTAATAGATCTTTATAAATACTTAGTTTGAAAACATAAAAAAGGTAGATTAATCATGAAAAGTATTGTTATAAATTTATTAAATTTTATTAACTCATTTAATAAACCAACATAGGCATACTGCGACAAGGAAGAAGAAAAACGGCATTTTTTTTATTGAAACAAATAACCAAAAGAGTGTGTTCCAATATGAGAATATACATATAGAACGAAGTTATCCAACAACAGATAAGAGGCTAGATCCAATTTTTCACTTGACACCTGGTGTGTTACATTTCATTGCAAGGGGGTCCTCGTTGTCAGCTACCACTTGATCCATGCCATGTCTGGTGGTTTTTTATTCATATCAACTAGTGTTCGAGTTTACACTAGCACGGGATGGCTCATCTGTAACGGGCGGGAAGCCACATCTGTGTCGGGATAGGGTACCGTCACGAACAAAAGGTCACTGATGTGAAAGGTCATCTGTATCGGGCCCCTTGCTGTCACGGATTACAGTTATCTTTATCAGGCCAATGTTAAACCCCGTCACCGATGAGTTCGACCTAGCAGAGGAGTCAAACTAGGGCCCGTCATTGATGAGTCATCCGTGACGTGCGCGCACTTGAAACCGGCAAAGATGATTATGTCACCTTTGTCAGTATAGTATGGTGACCATCACGGATGACTGATCGGTAACGGATTCTAAGGTACACTCGTTGCCTTTGGTATTAATTAGTATCGGGTTTTTTTATAACCCGTCACCAATGAGTAATTTACCAAAAAAATAAATATTGTTTTTTTCGCTAGCCTCAGTCCTTTACTAGCTATGTTCACTGCAAAATAAGAAAGAAACACATGTTTATATATTTCCTTCATCCCAGCAAACCCACATCCCAACATTTTTCACAAATCCATCACATGCCATCTATAAAGCCATACATTCACAACAGCATATATGTACATTCACAACGTCAAATTCATTTGTATCAGCGTCTTCAAGAGCTAAGCATCAAAACCTACAAAACCGAGTTATAAATTTGAACAAATTTATATGTAATTAGCATTGCAAATGTATACAGAGACATCACATCACATAGTATTACATATAATACATAATGTTACATAATCTCATGTTGACAAGCATTGACATTGACGGAGCGTGGGGCTCCTCACCGGGAGACCGCGCAGGCCCCCCTTTGCCGGTTCGGCCGGGGACTCAGGGAGAGATTCTAAGCTCTCTGTATGTGGAAGGCTCGCGAGACAGGAAACACACAAGACACGGGCGATGTATACAGGTTCGGGCCGCTGAGAAGCGTAATACCCTACTCCTGTGTTTTGGGAGATCTGTGTATGAAGGAGCTACAAAGTATCAGCCAGCCTCTCCCTTGTTCTGGGTTTCTAATCTGGAAAAGTCCAGTCCCCCCTCTCAGTGGGCAAGGTCCTCCTTTTATATCTTAAGGGGATACCACATGCACCATTTCTCTCTTTTTTGTGGGGACTTACCCCCCCCTTTCATAAATGGACGGAGATTTGTATAGTTGCCGTCCGAGTCACCTTCTGATGAGACGGCCCACAACTACCTCCACTTTCGCCGGGAGCAGGTGCGACGTGGAATCGTGGCTGTCTGCTGACGACATGACCGGTATCAGACCAGTCACGTCGGTCATTCTTGTCCACCACGTGTCAGCTTAGCAATCTACATGCTCGCCCTTCTTCACACAACATCTTGCCTGTAATGGTTAGGATGAAGCCTGGCATATATCTGACCAGGACTAACGTGCCATCTCTGGGAGGTAACACGCTAGCTCCAGCTGGGGACGAGCGCCTAGAAGCCCTCGTCCTGACGGGATGGGGCGAGGCGTGCGTCAGATTGCCTGTCGCCACCTAACCCGCGATCTGACCGGTCTGTGACTGGTCACAGACCGGATAAACGAGTGCACTGCACTGCGTTACATGCGGCGTGACACGCTCAGCCAAACCGCAATAAATGTGGTTAGGTGAGCCCCACTGTGCTCACCTAACCCATACACGCGGAGCAAAAACCCACGAGGGGTCGGGGCGCCTCGGCCCTCGGGGCCGAGGGGGGTGCGGCCCGACCCCCTCGGGGGGACTAAGAGGAGGGCGAACGCATCACCCTCGGGCCCGACGTCCCTCGGGGGTACCAGGCCACGTGTGCGATTGTGTCTGCCTCAAACCTCTAGTCATGATACTCCTGATCCCATGTCACCGACAGTAGCCCCCGGCGTTATGCCAGGGAGATCGCCCTCTTTAAGGGAAACGGTCGGGCGTGACGCCACTCCTAAGACCTGGTGACAGGTGGGACCGGTCTCCACAATTGGGCAGAAACCCAACGGTCACAAACCACGCACATCGGCAATGGTAACTCGGCTGTCAACAATGAGCGGTCTCTTCAAGACTGCCACATTACTTGAGTAGCACACGAATCTGGACATGGCGATTCGTTTCGTCTGAAGATATGGTAACGTCGCTTCGGTCGGCGAGCGTAATTAACGCGCGCACGATATGATCTATCTCGACTGCCACAACCGCATATCCACCTCATGCGCCGCAAGCGGGCGAATGGGATTAGTGGAAGCGTGGGCGCGAGAAATGAGGGGGCGAAATAGTGGGCGCGAGAAGCGAGGAGCCGGGCACAGCGTTGGCAAAAGTATAAAGGCACTGAGGAAGGGATCTGTTTCCTTCCTTTCGCCATTATTCCCCTTGTCTTCGCCGCTTGCGCCCTAACTCCTTCTTTCCTGTGCCCTACCTTCGCCACACGCGCTCGCTCTTAATTTTCTCTTCCTCCGGCGCCATGGCACGGGGTTCCGCTCTGCTCGATGGTAGCGTGCTGCCGCCTTCCCGGATCGTGAGCGAGAGGCAGGCTGGGCTGTCGCGCCGCTTCATGCCGGAATCTGCCACCGGCCGGGAGATAGTCACGCTGGGCGAGGGACGCCCGGCGCCAGACTACCCGGGGCGGTCCGTCTTCTTTCTCCCCTTTGCAATGGCAGGGCTGGTTCCACCATTTTCTTCTTTCTTCATGGATGTTCTGGAGTTCTACGATCTCCAGATGGCGCACCTCACCCCCAACGCGGTGATGACATTGGCCATCTTCGCGCATCTGTGCGAGATGTTCATTGGGGTGCGCCCATCTCTTCGGCTGTTCCGGTGGTTCTTCACCGTGCAGTCGGTGTCGCCGCCATCGGTAGTCGGTGGCTGCTACTTCCAGCCACGGGGGCCGGTGCTGAACCGCTACATCCCCTGCGCCCTCCGCAAGAAGTGGGACGACTGGAAGAGCGACTGGTTCTACACTCCCCTCGCCGACGAAGCGCGCCTCCGACTTCCGAGCAGCCCCCGGCGCAGGCCTCCAGCTGGCGGGCGCCGGTAGATCTGGGGGATGGCTATGACGCCGTCCTCGACCGCCTGGCGGGCCTGCGATCCCAGGGGCTCACAGGGGCCATGGTGTACGGCGACTACCTCCGTCGTCGGATTGCGCCGCTCCAGCGACGCGCTCGGGGCGCCTGGGAGTACACCGGGTCCGAAGACTTCACGAGGACCCACCAGGGAGTGAGATGGGACTGGGCTCCTGAGGACTTCAAGATATTGGTCCAACGGGTGCTGAATCTCAACTCCGTAGAGGCGGCCCTCATTCCCCAAGGAATCCTCCCCCTCTGCAGCGATCCAGACCGCGCCTCCATCCTGACCATTATGATGGCGGTCGGGGCCTCAGAGGAGCGAGCTCCAAAGGGCCACGACGGCGCAGGCGGGAGCCGCAGGGGGGAACAATCTACCCCGAGAGGGGGTCGTGCTTCTGGGTCCCGCGACAGGGGCCCGGGGAGCAGCCGCCCTGCCGACGCCCGGGTGAAGAGGAAGCAGGGAGGAACACCTCCCCCATCTCCTCCCCGAGGGGGCGGGGCGGCGCGTGCCAGTAACAGGCGCCCGGAGGGGGCCGCGCCAACATCGCAGCCCGAGGGGGAGCGCAAGAAGAAGCGGCCCCGTAAGATGGGGGAGACAGAACCATCTCGGGGAAACCTCATTTCCCCTCCAAAGTGGTCGTTTAACCGACCCCCTCACAGGTTCGTCTCTCACCCATCGTGGCTGTATTCATTCTCTCAACGCGAGTTTTCACTCACCCATCTTGTTCGTCTTCTGGTTTTTTCTTTTGTTTCAGCGAGATCCCGTCGCGTCCCTCCCGCCATTCCAAGTCCGGCCAGTCTGAGGCCGAGGATCCGGCGGCCGCAGAGGCCCTCAGGCGGGAATCTGACCGGCGAGAGGCCGCGGATCGCCTACGGGAAGCCGAGGAGGCCGCCCAGGAGGCCGCCCGGGCTCGCCAGGCCGAGGAAACCGCTCGGGAGGAGGCCGGATTTCGCCAGGACGAGGCGATGGCGACTTCCGAGGCAGCTCGCGACGAGGCCGCGGGCGCGTCGCTTGGGCCCACTCCCTCAGGCGACACTCAGGCGACAACTTCCGGGGCAGCTGGCGACGAGGCCGCGGGCGCGTCGCTTGGGCCTACTCCCTCGGGCGACGCTCAGGACCAACCGGGTCCGGGGGACATCCCCGAGTCCGGCACTTCCATCGGCGGCCCGAGCCGCGTGGCATC